AGAGCTCTGTGTCTTGCTCTAGTATAGTTTGGTTTAAACCAAACTATCGTATAGAATCTCCTACGGATTCTCCAAACGGATTCTTACTTTTGCTAACATGGATTGACATTTCTCAGCACACACAGACCCCACAGCAGTCACCACTAGCTTAAAAGACGCCTACAGGTGTGGTGCGTACAGCATTCAAGTTCTGGTGACGATCCGACAATCATGGAGGGAGAACTCTGTGGTGATGTGGTGAGAGTTCTGTCTCTTGGTCGAATCCGTGGCAAATCAGCGGGGGGGGGTATGCCCGCCCAAAAAAATCCGTCGGGCCAACTTTCGGGAGCCATAATAAGAGTGTTTGGGTGCGGTAGCACGCCAGAGGCCGAAAGAGAAAGAAGGTTGACTCAAGACCTTGGTTGATTAGAGAGTGGCATGCGCGGCGGAGGCACGAGGGGCCCCGCACGTATCATGTCCATCATACACAAACATCATCCACGTAACCCCCGGAGGCCCCGTAGATCAGTATCCTGCTGAGCACCCCAAACAGCCCCCCTGCTCTGTACGAGATACGAGCTACGACACCTACCTCACGAACTGCCAGGTAAAACGGCAGATAAATCATCCACCATTCCAAACAACTCTGTCAACATAACAATGCCGTACAAAGCTTTCAAAGTCTTGTGATATCAAATTACTATCCCCTAAAAGGTCTGTCAATAAACAATTCACCCTCTTGAGAGAAAAATGCTTTACCAATTTCTCAAGCAGTCTAAACACAAACAGTCACCCTTGGAAGAATACCCAGCAAAAATACACATTACATCAGAATCACGTCAGAAAGGGGACGGGTAACTCCGGGAAAACGTGTCCAACGTCCTGACTTAACTCAGGACAAATTCCTCAGATAAGTTTTCATGTTTCAACTCATTGACCAGCTCAAATAACCTTCGGAAGCACAAAGGCTTCAACCATGACTTACGAGAACATGCCAAATCCTTCCTCCAATACCCAATACCTTGACAAATATACCAGTCCAACAGCCCCCCTGCTGTAACATCCATCCCAAACACGAAGGAACCAAACAAACAAATCCAAAACAAATAAAACACCTGCGACAAGTATCATGGAACAATACCAATATCCCCCCCCCATGATTCTTGTGCAGAACTACCTCATCCATCGTACGTACCAGAGTACCAGAGAGCAGAAACATAACAACAGCAAATCAACGCCCAGTATAAATTCACAAATAAAACACATCACGTAGGAAAAGGCCCCCCCGCTGAAAACACAAAGAACAAAATCAACGAATATTCATCACAAAGTCGCGATGCGCGCAAAAAGCCTCCTTGGGGAGCGGTTTAGTCAGGAAATCCGCGTGTTGTAGGTCCGAACGTACGTGGACTACCTTGAACTCGCCCCGCGCGACACGCTCACGGATGAAATGGTGGCGAATGTCGATGTGCTTCGAGTTAGGGGTCGTAGCCTGGTTACTTGCCAAGTGAATAGCGCCTACATTGTCCTCCCACACCGGAGTGCACCCCACATCACGGTCCGGAAAGATAAAGCTCCAGAGATACCGCAGAAAAATAGCCTCCTTCAGCCCCTCAGACATCGCCACGTACTCCGCTTCCGTCGAAGACAGGGTGACGCTCTTCTGCGTCCGACACAGATACATCACACACGCACCAGCGAACATCACTAGTTCCCCAGAAACAGACCGCCGGCCGGTTGCCTTGCTGGCGAAGTCCGCATCGCCAAAAGTTCCATGTGGTCTCCTCCTACCATGCCCCTCTGAAAAGTAATACCGTACTCGCTCGTGGATCTAACATACATCAAGACATGCAAAGCCGCTTGCCAGCGCAATTCCTTCGGCGCGTGCGAATACCTCGCAACGGCACGTACCGCGTTGAGAATATCCGGGCGAGTCTGATTCGCCAGCCACATCAAGTGTCCCACCAGCGACCGGAAAGGCGCGTCAACATCGGGCTCGTCGGCGTCATACTGCTCAAGCTTCAAACCAACGACCATGGGTGTCTCTTTGTTCGTCGTCACACCGAACTTGGCGACGATCTTCTCCGCTACAGCCTGCTGCGAAATAGTCACCGTCCCCAACGCCGTGTCACGAGAAAACCGGCAACCCGCATACCAGCGCAGTTCCCCAAGGTTGGAGATGGGCACATACCGGTTGAGATCTACACCAAACTGGTCGCACCTGCTCTTACGTCCGATAGAAAAGATGTCGTCTACGTGGATCACAACTACCATGGTGACTACACCGCTCTCGATCAGACGCATCACACACGCATCGGCAGCACAAGACTCGAAACCAAGACGCTTCATGCCACGCATCAAGTGGTGATGCCATGTGCGGGACGCCTGCTTCAGACCGTAAAGACTCCGTCTCAACCGAACGACCTTACCGGAAAGCGCGCCGCACCCAGGAAGTAGACGAATGTACACAACCTCATCCAGTTCCGATTGGACAAAGGCTTGCTCGGCATCGAAATGGCACGTATCCCAACCCAGCACACAGGCAATAGCGGCTAACAAACGAATGCTCGTGATGGAAGGGCAAGGGGAGAAAGTTTCAAAGAAGTCAACACCCTCACGCTGCGCAAACCCACGGGCCACCAACCTAGCTTTAGGACGCACACGCTGCCCAAACTCGTCTACCTTCCATGAATACACCCACTTGGAGGAGATGACGTTCGTTCCTCGTTGCTATTCCGCCCCGACCTCCTGAAAGGTGCCCACTGCGTTCAGCCCGCAAAACTCCTTGTGTTCGGCGTGGGTCCAGATGTGGTGGTGTGGCCCCGCGTGCGCCGCCGCGTATGTCTCAGGCGTCTCCTGGTCGTACGCCGGCCCCGTCGGCAAGTCTGGCTCAGAAACGCCCGGCGCAGGAAGCTCGGCAATGGACCGTTTGATCTCGTCCTCCATGGCTAGAAGCGCGAACATCCCCGGCACCCGCCCATCTCGCTTCGCCCGCGACCTCGTCACGGCGGGCGTCGCTACAAACCCCTGCTGCCCCTGCCGACGCACGCCGGTACCACCCTCATGCTCCACCTCTGTCCACGCTCCGTCTGGTGCCAGCGGCGCCGCCGCCGGAGCTGCTGCCGATGCCGCCGCTCCTGCCGCCACCGCGGGGACCCCGGCCGCCCCCCGCCGCCTACGGCCGCGGGGAAAACACTGCCGCCAGAGGTCGCCGCCGTCTCCGCCGGAGCTGCTGCCAATGCCGCCGCTCCTGCCGCTACCGCGGGGACCCCGGCCGTTCCCCCCGCCGCCGCCGCGGGGAAAACACTGCCGCCAGAGGTCGCCGCCGTCGCCGCCGGAGCTGCTGCCGATGCCGCCGCTCCTGCCGCCACCGCGGGGACCCCGGCCGTTCCCCCCGCCGACCCCCAAGAACGTCCATCCCCCCGAAAGCCCTCGCTGCTGAAGCCAAAGGTACAGTGTTCGGAGTACGTGGGCACCCCAGCCTGAGTGAGAATTTTGTGCGTCGCCGAGGAATGATCGTGGCCTGAGTTCAGGTAGAAGCACAGCTCCCCCTTGCTGTGCATCTTGGACGGGCGGTGACGGTGTCGGAAGCCGGGCATCATGAACGGAAGCGCCACCCTGATCCTCCTCTTGCCGTACAGCTTAACCTCCGGGCACCGCTTGTCTTCCTTGCTCACCTCAGCAGCGATGTTCAAAGAATCGTTCATCCACGCGAAAGCCTCGGGCCAGATGGCCCGGAAGGACAGCGCCTTGGTCGGGTACGGAACTCCGGGGAAAAGCTTCGGGTATTCCAGAAACCCAGCCTTGCCTCCCTCCATCACTAGCGCGATCCTCCGCTCCACACGACCGTTGCTCTTGGGCCCGTCGACCGCCGTGAGCTCCCGCGTAACGTTCAGTTCCGCCAGCAGTCCCCGAAACTCCTCGTTGACCCACTCGGTACCGTTGTCGGTCAAAACACAGCCCAGCTCTCCGTGAGTAGCCAAGAGAGCCTTGATGGAGGCGTACCACGCACGGAACGCGCCCACGACGTTTGCACCGCTCTTCTCCCGCAAGAAGAAAGTCCACCCGTAGTTGGTGTGGTGGTCCAAGATCTGCATCAAGTACTTGGCACCACCGCTGGATGAGCCGAAAGGACCGGCTAGGTCCATGGCGACACGTTCAAGAGGCCGCGTCGTCCGGCGGGAAGGGGAGACGACCTTGGGGACCGAGCGCTGGATCGCCTTCGACTCCGCACATCCATCACAGTACTCCGGAGTGCCGGTCACCTTGATGCCCATCTGCTTAGCGGTCTCGTATACGGTCTTGGAGTTGGCATGGCCGAGGGAGCAGTGAAGATAGTTGTAGTTGATACTAGACTGCAGGCCAGGCCGTAGCATCGCCGCGACCATCGCGGGGGATTTGACGTGGTGGGGCAGGGGATCGACGCGAGTCCCCTGGATGTAATTTCCGTGCGGGAATTTGGTGAATTGCACTAGCCCCCCCCAAATCGATGCCCCATGCCGGTTGAGCTTGATCTCATGCGTTCCTGGATCTGGTTCAGCGACAGAACATCTAGCGCCAAGTCCGGTACCACGCCAACATTCTTCAGCGTAACACGCACATCCTTATGGCAATGGAAAATTTCGCGCGCAGGGGGGGATGAGGAGACGGAACAGACAAGGTGCATCGCGAAGAGACCGCCACCAAAGGTAACCTCGTCGCCGCCAAGCGCCTCAGGAACCGCTCCCGCCGAGTCACTTGTCGCCATGGCACCGTTGGGCTGCAATCCGTCATCGCCACCGTCCACGCCACCGCCGCCGTGGAAAATGTCGACAAACTCAAAGAAGGGCTCGGCCGGTGTCACAACCTGCTGCTGTACGATCGCCCCATTGCCAACGCCGCCCCCACTACCGCTGCCGTCACCGCCGCTGCCGCCGCCACCACCTCCACCGGCCACCATGACGTCACTGTAGTACATCCCATCGGCCGCCGGGATATCACGATATGGGGCGGCCGATGCATCCGTGGTGGCGTACGCGTACTCCGGATCGACAGCACCAGCAGAAGTGACGACGTTGAGGTGAGGGTGCCGGTTACTTTTTGCACAATTGCGCCACATGTGGCCGTATTGGCCGCAGGCGCCGCACGTACCTTCGAACCTGCGGGGGGCGGCGCAATGCCCGGCGTGGTGGCCGTGCCTCCCACACCGCATGCATCGGTGCACTGTACCCATCGGCGCGCCGGGCGGAGGTGGTGACTCCGGCTGGTAGTACACGGCGTT